CCACCACAGGAGTCTGCTGAGAGAAATTCAACACCAGAACCAGAGACAAAAGTCTGTTCTTTCTCTAGTGTCTCTCTGGTACCTTCTACTGACAAAGCTTAACATCACACCTGTGTGACTGGAGATCTGTAATTCCTCATCTGCTTCACCTCACTATCTAGCATCCTTTCATTTGAATTCTGAAGGGCTCTCTTTCGTGTTTCTTGTAGAGCGTGTCTAGTATTAAAAACAATACATTAAAAACTTCCTCAGTTTACCTGGAAATGTCTGAATTTCTGCCTCCTTTTTTTGAATGACAGTTTTGCTGGATATAGAATTCTTAGTTGATAGGTTTTTTTGGTTGGTTGGTTGGTTGGTTTGGCTTGGTGTTTTTTTGTTTTTTGTTTTGTTTTGTTTTTGCATTTTTTTTCATTTGTTTGTTTTTTGAGAACTTTGCTGTATCGACCTTACTGTCTTTTGGCCTTCAGAGTTTCTGATGAGAAATAGGCTCATAATTTATTAAGATTCTCTTATGTGTTTTGTGTTGCCTGTCTCTTGCTGCTTTCAAGATTCTCTATTTTTTTGACAGTTTAATTAAAAAGTGTATCAGTGAGTTTATCTTACTGGGATTTTGTTGAGCTTCGTGGATTTGTACATTCATGTCTTCCTTCTAATCTGGGAAGTTTTCAGCCATTATTTCTTCAAGTAATCTCTGTTCCTCTCTCTTCATCTTCTGAGACTCCCATAATGTATACGGTGGTCCTCTTAGTAGTTTACCACAGATCCCCTCTATTCACGTTTCTTCATTCTTTTTCTTTTCACCCCCAGACTTAATAATTTCAATTGTCCTATATTCAGATGTGCTGGCTCTTTCTTTGGCTGCTCAAATCTGTTTCTGAATCCACCTGGTGAATTTTTTTATCTCAGTTATTGTATTTTTCAATCCTGGAATTTGTTTTTCCTTTCTGTAATTTCTGTCTCTATTGATACTCTCATTTTTATCATATATCATTTTATGTATTTATTTATGTCATCCATTAGTGCTTTGAGCATTTTTAAGACAGTGTTTTACGTCTCTGCCTAACAGCCCAGCATCTGAGTTTGTTCAGGTATATTTCTGCTGGGGTATTTTGTCCTTTTGAGTGGGCCTTACTTTTCTTTTCTTTTGTATGCTTTGTGATTCTTGTGTTGAAAAACTGGACATTCAAATCTTAAAATGTAACTCTGATCATCAGCTCTCCCTTTTTGGATTTTCTGTTTCTTTGCTGTTGAAAGGTTTCTCTGTGCTGGGGATCAACCCGAAGTAAAAGCATAAGATATTCCCAAGCCTTTTCTAGCCTTCATCTTTTCAAGCCTACCTGGTAGCTTCCTAAATTTTCCCATATGTGCAGTTGCTTTTGAATGACAACCCTTGCATATCTGGCTCCCAGAGGGGAAAGGGGGGAAAAAATGTATTGCTCTTTGAAACTCCCTGGAGGTCCCTTCAGCTCATAGGAGTTGCAACAATGGTGGCTACCCTCTGTTCCTGCATCTCAGAAATCAAAAGCAACACTGAACGGTCAGAACACAGAACCCCAGGTTCCTATTGTCCAGCCTGGCTGCGGCAAGACACACCAGGCACAGCTGCCTGCTATGGGGCTGGAGTGTGGGGAACAGATAGCCACTCCCACAATAAAGGCTAAAATGCATCTAAATTAAACCACAACTTACCAGCCAAGCTTTTTCCAGAAGGGTGTATGCTTTCAAATAGACTCCAGAATTTCAAAATAGTTACCTCAGACAGTTTTTTGACAATACAGTTGTTGTCTCAGTGAAGAGATGGATCCCTAGTGCTTCCTACTCCCCCATCTTTCCTAACTTCACTCTCTTTTTTGGTCTTTTTAAGATAAATTTTGATAATTTAGTTCACCTCAGTCTACTGTTTGTTAAAGACTGGTATGTGCAAGGTTCTCTGCATGAAGCTGCAGAGAGATAGGCGGAAGATCATAATCTAGCTCACCGTTTCACAAGATTGATGATAAGCAGCATAGCAGAGACTCAAGCATGGGCAAAAGAGGCTCCGTGTAGGAAGTGAAAAGAGGCTTTAGGGTGGAGGTGGCCTCAAGGATGGATGGAGAGTTGGGGGTAGGGGAGGTGGGAAGATGGGGTGGTAGACTAGATGGGGGGCTGAAAGGGGACTTGCCCATGGGAGAAGGTTGGGCAGGGAGACAAAACAGGGTAGACAGAGTTCAGGAGGAAAGAAACCTGAGACACATGAGTTATCCCACGGACTACCCCTCACCTCCAGGCCCACTTTCTGCTGGATCTTTCCTACGTCTAATCTCTCCATCCACCTGCCACAAGGCATAAAGGTAGTTGGCTTATAAGGGTCAGTCACATGTAAATCTGGAAAAAGCAATTGTTAGAGATAGGTACAACGGAAGCTAAAATAAAGCTTAGGGACATGTCGCTCAGGAAGTTAGTTACATGAGGTGCACAAATCTCAGTTCCACCCTAACTGGCAAACGTAGCTTGCCTCATTTTTCTAGAAACCAATTTTTATTTGCATTTGTATTTTTGATGTTTTAATTTGTATTTTTGAACTCCATTCTAGTTCAGGTTGGATTCCTAATCACATCAGGAATTTTTGCCCCATATTCCCTGAATCTACAACTATATTCAGTGAGGATGCCTCTGATCCTTGTGTCATCCGGTATATCTGTCTTCTAAGGACTGCCATAACAAACAGTTACTAACTGGGTGGTGTAAACAACACAAATTTATTCTCTTTTAGTTCTGGAGACCAGACGTCAAAGACCAAGGTCTTGAAAGCATTCGTTCTTTCAGAAGGCTGTGAAGGAGAATCTGTTCCATGCCTCTCTCCTGACTTCTAGTGGCTTACTGGTGATCTTTGGCATTTCTTAGAATGTAGAAACATCACCTGATTTCTGTCTTCATCTTTGCATGTTGTTCTCCCCTCTGTTTCCATCTCAGATTTCCCCTTTCTATAAGAATACTAGTCATATTGGATTAGGAGCTCACCCTGTTCTAGTATGATCTCATCTTAATTAAATACATCTGCAGTGGTCCTATTTTTAAATAAGGCCACATTCTGAGGCGCTGGGGTTAGGACTTCAGTATATGATTTGGATGGACACAATTCAACCCGTAACTTCTCACCATACAGCATCTGCTACCTCACCCATCCCTTCTCTGGTCCCAGCCATGGGAACTAGTCTGTTACAGAGATCCTTCCTGCTGGTCCACATGGCTTTTCTCTTCTCTCTTTGTACTACGCTGTACTTTGCAGCACAGGAATCCATTTATCTGTCCACACTTGGCATTCAGGCCCAGGGCTCTTGGGAGACTCTGTCTCCCTAAACATGCCATGCAATCATTTCTCTAAGATCCAGCTGCCTCCCTGGTGTTCTGGGAAGGAAAAAGAACAAAAGGTCTCTCTGTTCTCAAATCCCATAAGCCTTAGAGAGGTTTTGCTGTTTCCTGACTTGGATGGAGATCAGAACTCAGGGCCCCTCTCTGGGGCCACCAGTGTGTGTAACCTCTCAAGGCTGCCACCATGCCCAAGTGAGGGGTAGGTTTCCTGGTGTACATGAGGTGGGCATAGAGGTAAGAAGAGTGAAGCCTTTCTTCCTGCTTCACACATTTTCTCCAACACATTTATGTAGGCCAAAACGGCCAAAACCTGGAAATGATGGCCTGTGGACCAAATCCGGTACACCGCCTGGTTTTATAAATAAAGTTTTATTGGCACATATCTATGCCCTTTTGGCTATTCATTGTCTTTGTACTACAGTGGCAGAGGTGAGTAGTTGGGACAGAGACTGCATGGCCCACGAAGCCAGAAATAGTCACCTTTGCAGAAAAAGTTTGTAGACCCCTGATGACACAAACGCCTAGGACTTCTGCTTTGATCTCTCTGCCCTGAAGCAGTGATCACAGGGTGGCCTCTTTGACTACAACGAATGGCAAAGGGAGGAAAAGAAATCCTTGGGATGAAATGGTGATTGTGTCAAAACTTATTGCCCTTCCAACAGGTGTATGCAATTTGTGAAAAGCCAATGAGCAAAACAGTTGTGATTTGCATTCTTTTCCCCTCAATGCTGAATTTCAGTAAAAACTTCAGGGAGAAAACAGTCATACTCCTTCATGGTGATTTTGGCATTGTGGAAATGAAGGAAACCACTGAGGTTGCTTGGGTCAGAGCCCCATGAGGACACCCCAGGGCTTCATGGAACAGGTGGGCGGACCCACATTTCAGCCAGCCAGACCAGGGTCCTGCTGCTCCTCCTCACTGCCCCTCACACACATGGGCTTGGCCAGAGAACACAGCTGGGGCTCCCAAACTGCTTGGAACCCCAGTCTAAGCACAGAGCCTCAGGGACCCAGGATGTGTCTTTGACCACTTGTGGTCTCACACTTGCCCAAGTCCCCAGGTCAAGGTTGCAGAGCCGGGATCTGGCAGGTCTCTACCCTAAGCCATTGAACTAGTTAATGAACCATTCTGATTCTTCTCATTATAAAGTTAAATGAGAGCGGTTTACTCATTCTGAAATTTAGTGATCTCCAGAGTAGACTTAGGAGCCATGTAAAGGTCTTTGTTTTATAGAAGACCAAAAAAAAAAAAAAAAAAAAAAAAAAAAGAGAACAAAAACAAAAACACACATACACACACTAAAAATTCCCCCTTGGGGTTTTCAGTGTTACAAATGGACAAGTTTTAAGTTCAGATGAAAGACTCAGTTTGTGGATCTTGCTGAACTGATACTGTATTCTATTTCCAGATGACCCTGATTTACAGTTCTTGGATGCATTTTTCTGACGGCTCACTTAAACATGCCGTCAGCATGGGACTGGGATTGCTGAGTTATAGTGTGGAAGAGCAGAGGGAGATTACTTTGGAAATTTGGCCAGACCCCTTCCCTCCTGGCAAAAGTGGGGGAAAACAAACAAACAAAAAAAATGAGCACACCTGCTGTGTCCATAGCACTGTCTGGTTAACGCCAACCTTTCCTTCCTTCTAGGCCTGGGCCTGGGGGCACGCACTGCCTGGGAGCCAGTGTGGAGCATGCTGTCTGCGAGAACCTTCCCTGCCCCAAGGGCCTGCCCAGCTTCCGGGACCAGCAGTGCCAGACCCATGACCGGTTGAGCAGCAAGAAGAAGGGCCTGCTGACAGCAGTGGTGGTTGATGGTAAAGGCATATGGCACGTCTTTTCACAGTGCCCCCCTTCTCCTCCAAGAATGTAAACACCTCCTAGGAAACCTCATGGGGCTCCCCCTTCCCAGCCATCCATCCAATGGGACACTCCAGGCCCACTGCGCCGGTGAGCAGTGGACCGGCTTCTGGAGCAGTGGGGTTGAATTTGGATGATCCAGCCCTGGGAGATTTCTTAAAAGCAGCTGTGAGGTGGGTGGCAGACCAGAATCGTCCTGCACCCCCATTTGCAGCAAGGTGGGGGTGCTGGCAGCCTGCCACCTAGTGCCATGTACTGAAGGGCCCAGGGCCAACTTTGAGGACAGAGAGGTTCTGCAGGCACGGGACGGTGGGCTTCTGTGTCTGTTCTCCCTCTTTCCAACATTGATGCTTTCTTGCATTTCTTTTCTTGGTTCGTTTTGGGTTGGATTTCACTTCTTGACTTCTTGACTAAGGTGTTTGGGGGAAAAAAAAAAGTTTTGAGGACAGTTTACAACTCGGAGATGATGATAGGCATGGGTCATGTTTTCTTTCCGAGAGCTTTCTCTCCCAAATCGGGGGACGCTGCCCCATGGGCCACTGCAAGCATTTCCAGTGGCTGATCAAATTCTCGATGGTATATCATGTCCGTAGGCTTTGTAATGTTTGTTGATAGGGACTGTCTGTCCCCCCATGGGGGGCACTTAAAATTCTGTTCATCTCTGGGAGACAAGACTGTGTCCTAATGATGATGATATGGTCCTGTTTGTTGAACACACCTTAGGCCAGGCCAAGGTTAGCTCTGCATCTGTCATCTCAATTACTATGCAGAGCGAGCCATGCAAAGATGAGAGGTTATGGGTTACATGACACATCAAAGTTCCTGCGGGCTGATAAGGAGCAGGAAGGGACCCCCATTCCAGAGGAGCTGACTTGGAAAATAACCAGCTATCATCTGGCTTCCAGTACCTGAGTGAGCCAGCGAGAGTATGACTTCGTAAGTGTCGAGTGAAGAGGCTTTTTAATAAGAACTACAGTGACTGAGCCTGATTTTTACCAGCCTCTGAAGTCTTTTGCAGGAGAATGAGGTTCCTGTGCCAGGTCTTGCGTTTCCTCTCTGTGGTTTGAAGAACCTCCGAAATCTCCACACTGCGGTCTGCTCCTACAGGCTCAAGTGTGCGCAGCTTTGGGGGTTGGAGAGGGTAGGCCCAGGCATCACCAGCTATGACAGCCCCAGACCCGCAGCTTTAAACCCAGCAACGTGACCCATCAGCTCCGAACCGAGTTGTAAAGTAACCTGGAATGTTCTCAGTTGTGGCAGATACCACCAGCCCGCTCAGCTGTGGGCTCATTTAAAAGCCTCGGGGAGCTCCCCAGATTTTTTTCCTTTTGAAAAACACCACTTTTTGGAGCTGTGTGATGGGAGTGCACCGTCGCTTAACCATGACTTCAAGAGAAGAGCAGCCCACATACCCTCAGCTTTGTCTGCAGATGAGGGAGAGAGGGGGCCCACCCTCCTGAAAGGAACATGTACAGCTGGACACTCGCTGCTCTCTGCCTGGGCATTCCTCTGATGCAGGAAGACCCAGGAGGCTTCCAGATGTCTCGAGCATCTCCGGACCCCTAATCGGGAGAAAATGAGCCCAGGCAGCAGAGGCTACCCTGTTTCCAGCGTCATGGTGGGTTCTGATGAGGGGCAGCCTTGTTTCCAAACCATCAGCCCTCCCAGCGTGGACAGAGACACTTTAGGTCCACTGTCCTGTCCTTCACTGACTCTTGTCGGGAGCAAGAAGAGGTCGGCTCCAAGAGAGACTCACCCCATTCCCATTTCCACTCAACTGTGCACACAGCCTTGTTGTTATTCTTTCCTTGGTCTACTTCAGCTTTGAGTTCTCCTGCTCCTTTATTTAATGCAGAAATCCCACTTAAATGTCTGGTTTTCCACAGATTTCTCCAAGTCGTTATTAGACTTCTGTTTGACTTGTAACCACTTTTGGATTGCTGAGCTCCTCGGGTCCCTTATCATCCCAGGGGCAGAAATGGATGTCTGCCCTGGATCCCCCACCCAAGACGCTTCGCAAGGCAGCTATCTGGGGAAGCCCACCAGGTTCAGAATGTGCCATGACCCACTCGCTTTTCATTTCTCTCTATCAAAGCAACAGATCATTACAGCCAGGGTTCGACCACCTTTGATCTGAAAAGTGCCATCCTCTCTGATAAGGACAGCTAAGGGGCAGTAAGCATTTTGTCTTTGAGGGAAAGACCCCAAGTTCAGGCCTTTGCAAGGCTAGCTTGACATATCCCCTTCTGGGGTGGAACTGTCCTGACTTCTCACAGATTTGGTTTCATTTCCCTCTCAAATATAAACAGAAGCCAGCATTTTTAAAAGGAGCATTTCACAAGGATGAAAACAAAATAACAAATGGCCAATTCAGAGGGCAGGGGGTAGAATACAGATTAGAAGTTTGCTCCTCTCAAAAATCAGCTTATAAAAGGCACAATTCGAGCTCAGCCGTGATGGGAACGATTCCTGTGGTTGGGCTCTGGGCTCTCTCGAAGCCCATTATGACTGCCCTATTCATAGCATTGCTATCACTGTGGAATTCTTTGGCGAGTGACACACGGTTCAAGAAAGGGGAAGCTATACTTTTTCTTTTTTCTCTTACTGAAAAAAAAAATTCTTGCAGAGGTAGATTTTCCAAGGGAGGGCTCAGGACCACAAATCCATACCACCTCCAAAAGAAGACAAAGGCTCTCCTTAGAAAATAGTTCTAAGTGGGAAAGCCTTTAGACAGAAACCCATGGAGATGGCCTGTTGCCAAACCCACCCCATTTCTGCTTTCCCCATGGAATCTCATTTAAGTGGAAACCTTCAGGAGTTCTGTCCTTCCTGCCCAAGCCAGCAGGCCACGTGCCCACTGAAGTGTCAGAGGGCTTGGCTAAGGCCGTGTCTGGACATGGAGGTGCATTCCCAGCTCCTCCTGGGCTGGCATGGCAGAACCCCCTCTGGGGCTGAGCCTTCCAGGGTATGGAGCGTAGGATGGTTAAGGTCTCTCTAACTCCAATTCATTCAAGCCAACTGGAGTTGTTTAATGAAAAAGAGAAGAGTTGTTGCAAAGTTGCGGGGTGTCTCAGATCCCAAGGGCCTCTGAAAATATCAGGACCTCTCTCCATGCCCATCACAGTTTGTGTTTATGAGTCATTTCTTCCTGTTCCCAGCTGAAAAGTAGCTTTCTCCTGACTTGTCCACATGAGGCTGAAGGGTGACCCACAACACTTTCATCCTTTATCTGAATCTGTCGGGGCCAGATGTGGCCAAAACATTTTTGGTGTTAGGTAACAGCAGCACATCAACCATATATTACCAGTACTCCCAGTGGAGTCCAGGGAAGCACCCTACAGTCCAGGGAAGTACAGGGATGTCTCTACCAAATAACACATGAATGGTCTCTAACTGGAATTCTGAACACTACCAAAGCCTCATGTTAGTCAAAGCTGTTTTTGCTGCCAGGTGTGTTTACCACATATGTAAGAAAATGCTCGCAGTTTTCAGAGCTTTTTGGACTTCTGGATGGTGGATAAGAGAGTACAGACTTCTTTCAGATTCATCAACTACGAGTAGACACAGCTGCTCTAAATCTGAATTTTAGTGCTTATTTTTCAAGACAGAGACTCTGATTGGTCCACCTGCAGTCAGCTGGCCACTGTCAGTCCGATCGGTTGAGGCCTCATGAAGCATAGCTATGAGGTTGTGATGGAGAGAAAGACTCTGACTGGTATAGCTACGGTCAAGTGGCTTCTTCCGATCCAGTCAACTAAGGCCTGGCTCTTGAGTTATGGTAGGCAGCTTTGGGGACAGGGGACTGGGCAGCCTCCTCTGTATCCCCCAAAGGTAGCCAGACAGAGCTGGAGTGAGCACTTGTGATGGCCTCAGAATTCCTTGGTATCTCTTAGTAAGACCTTACAACCACTGGCAGAAAGAGAACAGCAAGAGTACTAAGACCCACAAGTGTCCTCTTCACCATGGAGTACTAGGGGGATTCCTCCAAGCCTCCACTAAGCAGATAAGATAATGTGGCTCTCAAGCCCCTGAGTTCATCTCCCCTGCCTTGTCTGTGGTTTTCCCATCCAAGCATAACTCCTGGCGACAAGTCAGTCAGTGAGAGACCAGGAACCACACCAATCAGTCCAGCCTCAATTAGAATTTCATTTGAGCCCCCATCAGCCATGTAAAAGGGACACTCCAATCTTCTTTCCTTGGAGTGCATGGTTCTATAGTTCTTAAGAAGATTTGACCTCCTTCTGTACTAAGAATTTATCTGGGGATTCTTTGCCCACCCAAGGTAGCTTAGAGGGGAATATTCAGAGAATTTTGAGAGGCTCCTTCTCAAGTTTTATAAAGGTTATCCTGAGTCCTTTTGGGAGATAGTGCTAAACTATCCTAGATGTGTGGAAGTGCCCTAAATTCTGAGCACAGACCCCAGAAAAGGAGATGGACAAATGGAGTTTCAGCTGAGCAAAGGAAGGAAGTGTTACCTCTGGACTCTATTCTAGAGTCTGGGTGTCCCCAGCTGTCCAAGCCGAGGAGTACAGTGTCTGCAGGTGGGAGAGTCCAGTGTAGGTGGAGTTGAGTGTACCTGTTTGCCTGGGGTCATGGCCAAAATCCCTCCATCTGAGAATCCCCATTTTCCTGATATTTATAACAGAGCCCAGACAAACCATCTTCATCCCCTCCAAATCTGGTCTTTCTAACTTGCCACAAAAGACCCCCTATTTTTCTACCCAAATCCCACTTCCATTTCTGCTCAAATCAGAGTAGACACTCAGAAGCCAGAAACATTCATGAAACTGGTGTTTTGCTTTCAGCAGCACCATTTTGCCTCTTAGTATTTGGGGCCTCTAGCGTTTTCTGTCCAAAAAGAAAACAGTAATGGTAGAAAGAAAACTAGGCTGGGACAAAGAGGCCAGGGTCTGACCTTGCCTGTCAGGGGACTCTGGGTAGCCACACACCTTGTGTGAGTCTCCCATGTGCATCTATAAGATGGAACGATGACAGCACCCACCTGAAATGCATAGATACTAAGTATGCTGCCTTTGACATAGTAGATAATGTCATTTATGATTTTATCAACATCACCACCATCATCACCATTATTACTGCTATTGAATGAACCATTTCAAAGCTCAGTTATTCCAGCAGTTCAGTTTAAAGGTAATTAAAATCCATAGTTTCCAAACTGCTTGGACCAGAGGACCCTTCTTTTCTTAACAGTGAAACATAAGAGGAAGCCCAGTGTATGAAGAAAGTACCCCATCCATTCAGACTGGGAGCTATGGTGCTGCATTCTTCCAGTGGTTCCCCAAGATGCCAATGGGAAACCTCGGGGTCCCAAGGACCTCAAAGATTTGACCTCAAAATTTGACCTCAAAAATTTTGAGGTCAAATCTTTGAGGTCCTCAAATGAACCTTCTGGAACCTGAGCTCAGTTTACATTTCAGTCTCTTATACTTCTTCCACTGGCTGCCTTCCTGGGTCATTCCATCTAAATGGAGGGACAGCTGCCTCTAGCCTGCTATCTGGGGAATTGGGACATTCCTTCCACTTTATACCCTGCCCTCTAACAGCTCAGGCCCATTTCATGGGGATTTTCACAGTCTGCCTCATCTGGGATTTGCTCTGTACTTGTCCATTAGACTACCAAGGCCTTGAAGAGCATACACTACTCGTCTTTCTTTCCCAGTAGTGCCCAAACAGTGCCTTGTGTGATCAAGGAACTCAGTTCCTGTTTTTTGAATGAAGAAACACTGAAGCATCATTATTTTACTTACCTGGGAAATTCTTCACAACAGCCCCTCCATAGCACCTCCACAACTAAGTAGAACAAACAAGTTGAACATTTCTACTGAACCTTTGTAGTTTCTTTCTAGTGTTTTAAGGCAGGACTTTCCACTGGGCATGTTGGTCAGCAGGGCTCCATGGGAGAGGAGCTATGGAAAGCTGCTGAACATGTGTATGGCTTTCTGAATGTCATTCAATCATGAAAGCCCCAGAGCCTAGGTGAGACAACACATCTGCTTTGACAGGAACTGTCCAGCTGGAATGCCAAGATCTTCTGAAGCCAAGTCAACTCCAGAAGCCTTTTTCTACCCCTGCGCTTTCTTATCTGAGACCACTGGAAAATGAGCCAGTGGTGGAAACAAAGGGACCGACGAGGCAGCACAAAAGCGTTGGTGTTTCTGTTTCTGGAAGTTCTTTGCAAAAATAATCACATTAATGTCATTAGAATTAGGTGACTGAGAGAGAGAAAGGGGTGTTTTCCTCTTTCAGAGTTACATAGAGAAGAACAAAATCCATTCATTTATTTAAAAATAAGCTTAAAGATTTTCTCCCAAGATCAAGAATAAACCAAGGATTTCTTCTTATACTGTTCCTTTTCAACACCATACTGGAAGTCCTAGCTAATGAAATAAGATAAGGAAATTGAAAATATACAGATTGGGAAGGAAGAAATAAAACTACATTTGTTTGATGATGACATCATCTACACAGAAAATCTGAAAGAATCAACAAACAACAACAACAACAACAACAACAAAAACCCCCCAAACCCCAAAAGCTTTGTGGAACTAGTAAATAATTATAGCAAGTTTGCAAGATACATGGTAAATGTACAAAAATCACTTTCCTATATACCAGCAAGGACCAAATGGGGTTGAAATTAAAAACATAGTACCATTTACACGAACACCCCCAAAATGGCATATTTATATATAAAACTAGCACTGTATGTGCAAGATTTATATGAGGGAAACTCTGATGAGTGAATTAAAAGAATTAAATGGGGAGATATTCCATGTTCATGAATAGGAAGAATCAATATTTGTCAAGATGTCAGTTCCCCCTGACTTGATCTATAGATTTAGCACAATTCCCGTGAAATCCCAGCAAGTTATTTTGGGGATACCATTAAACTGATTCTAAAGTTTATATGGAAAGATTAAAATATTTACCAAGTCCTTCTGTGAGCCACATCCTTGGCCTGGCCTGGGGACAAGAGATAAAAATCTCAGTCCCTTGTCCTCTAAAGTCTTGCAGTACTGTCAGTTCTTCAATCTAAAGATAATTAAAACCCATCCCTTTCAAACTCTTTTAGCAATGGAACCCACCTTATAAAAAATCCTTTTGTATATGGAAGTCACTCAAACACTCATAAGACAATAGGATAATGTCTAAGGGCTTTGATGGAGGTGTATGCAAAGTGCAGTTGGAGAGTCCATGTCAGAGATGGCATGAGAGGAGAGAGCTGTGGAGTGGAACCTTCTGGGGTGATAGGAAACGTCTGGAAGCTCTGCAAGGAGGGATTTCCAGGGAAAGAAACAGCCTGGGCAAAGGCATGAGGGCTTGTCATGTTCTAGGAGCTCACTTGGTTTCAAGAGCAGCAGAAACTAGGGGTTTCCATCCCGTTGGGTGACATGGCTCTTACACATTGTCCTAGAGGTCCCTTTTGTTCCTGTATTTTCAGCTCAGCTTCTCCCAGAACCTTCTCGCCATATATATCACAGCCCTACTGCTTTTATCTAGCAGCTGGTGGAGCGCGAAAGCATTTAACAAAAGCCACTGCTGTGGAGACATCCACAGGGCCCACACCCCCTCCTACCCAGAGGCATTCCCATTCACCTTCTCCCCCTTTCTCACCTCCACAACAAGAGAAGCTCCCAGGCTCTCCCTTGATACATAGTCAGTTCATTCAGCGGTCAGCACACAACAAAACGTTCTGCCTGGTATTTTTAATGCCTTAAGGAAAAGGAAAGTTATACCTTTGCAAAGGATGACGAGAATAAGGTAAATAAGAACCCCCCAGAGCCCTCACTCACATATCTTTCTCCATTTGCTGTGTGGAATGTTCCAGGGGAATCTGCGTGCCTCTGAGGAACATGTGCTGGGCTTCTGTGACCTTTATTTCATATTGATTGACCTCTTGTCCTCTGGGCCACCACCCACGTGCACCTGCACCCTGCTTGGCTCATGCCTCTCGAGCACCAGCCCCTTGAGTGGCCCACACACCCCTTCCTCCATCAATGTCCACCTTCCCCTTTCCCTCCTCAGATAAACCATGTGAACTCTACTGCTCACCCCTGGGGAAGGAGTCCCCGCTGCTGGTGGCTGACAGGGTCCTGGATGGCACACCCTGCGGGCCCTATGAGACCGACCTCTGTGTGCATGGCAAGTGCCAGGTAACACGTTTTCCTTGTGTCTTTGGTGGGGCTTTCTTTGGAAGGGAAGCTCCCTCACCCCCAGAAGTTTTTGGTGCGGCGGTGGGGAGAGTGGGCAGAGACCTTGGGAGGCTTGGGGGGATGGATCATCTCAAGAAGGCACTGGGGTGCTCTCTCCTGCAAACTGGCACTCCTCCTCCCTCAGCAGTAACTGAGCATGAAGCCCACCCCAGGCCAGCTGGAGAGCTGAGGTGGCTGGAAGAAGAGTGGCAACATGATAATCTTAAAAAACCTTTAAGTAACTTAAGCCATTCTGACGAAGGGCAAAACAGGTTGAATACTAAGGTCAGGCTGGAAGATGCATGTGAACATGTTATTGGACAAGCCGTGTTGCAGTTAGCTACCAAAGATAGAGAAGAACAAAGCTGAATCCTTCAGAGGTGGTACCCAGGAAAGCAGTATGCCCAGTGCAGTATAGTCCTCAAAGCCATCCTGGTGTTGCATGTCTGTGACTCATTAGAATGAATGATAAGTATCATTTATGAAGACAACATGAAAAACAAGGAGGGAGGGAGAGATGATGGATGGAAGCTCATCTTCCACTTGTGTTAAATCTGCCCGAGCTGGGGGCACACCGGAAGCTGAGCCTTCCCGAGGCAGCACTCCCCAGCTAGGTGGGATAGGACTATTTCTCCCTAAGAAGGAGCATCCTCCTGATGTGGAACTGGGGAAGGGAGTCAGGAGGCTGTGTATTTCCAGTGCCCACAGAGCCACGACTCAGGTAATGCCACCCTCCTTTATGCCACATGTGTTGTATTACCTGATGATTTAGTTTGACCTGCACCTGTCAGGTGTGAGTCCCTGGAGCCCGAAGCAAGCAGATGGCTAGCAGGAGAGCTGTGCACTTGGCATGGGAAGGAAAGCCAGGTCTTGCCTCCAATATTTGCTTTACTTTGTTTGGCCTCCATAGACCAGCACCTGCAGCATGAGAGTAAGCAAGGAATGCACTCACCAAGGGCTCCTGGGGGGCCTTCTCATTTTGCTAAGAAAAGAGAAGCTACGTCCCAGAACCCGTGAGGTCTCTACGCCTCCCAAAGTTAACACCCAACTCTGATGCTCAGTTTCATGGAAAAAAAAAAAATTTCAACAATTGTAAATTCCAGGGATCACTAGGGAGAGAAGCTGTCATTCCCCCTAACTGTACTGGTACCAGAAATCTGCCTCCAGGCCTGGGACCCGCTGACCCCACAAGGCAGCACATCTTGCTTGTTCTCTCTGCTTCCTGACACCTGGCCAAGGGCAAGATGGAGTAAAAGGGAGAAAGGCAGAAACACACAGACACAACTAGGGTAGTCCCTGTGGCCATTTCAACCCTAGTGGATTTTTTTCCCCTACAAAGTCCAAACTAGTCCCAAACTGAGATTTTTCAGGAAAAGAACTTGACAACATCCAGGCATTGCCTGGCTTTATTATCAAATCCAGATATGAGTCAGTGATAGGCACCGGGTGCCTGAGAATCTTGGCAAGGAGTCCTCCAGGGGAAGGAGGCAGTGACAGTGGTGAGACTGGTGGCCCTCAGGGCTACAGCGTTGTTGTGGAGAATGTCCAGAGCCTGGAGGCGGGGTGAACACGGGTCTTATCGTTGTCACCGAAATTGCCAGCATTTCTCTGTAAAACCACCAGCAAGTCAAGTGCAGGATTTTTTTTTATCTTTCCTAAATTCTACACTTACGCCAGCCATCCTACAGCACAATGATGAACAACCAGTGGGGTCATATGAGTTGCCCAGACATGATTTCAGCTGAAAGTGATCAATGCCAGTGGGCCCCTTCTGTGACCTTTGTTCTAACCCCATGCTTTTTAATGAGGAACTCTTCCCAGTGCCATGACAGCAAATGAACCAGTTCATCAGTCAGAGAAACATGGGGGAGCTGCCACGCAATGGCTCTGACAGCCTTCAGTCTGTGGTCATCTGGCACCATCCCGCCAGAGCCTGCCCTGCACTTGAATGTGATGGCAATAATATGAGTATTGCCTTTCCGTTCCCAGAAGCCACCCCATCTCTGCCTGGCCCCTGGTCTGTCTCCAGTGCCTTCACCCCCATCCTGGTCATGGCATTTACTGACCGCTGTCCTAACCAAGCACCACTCCTCAACACAGGTGCAGACAGTGCCCCTTCCTCCTGATGTTTTGTGGCAGGTGGGCTGGCTCAGGCTCATCGGAGCCTCACCTCACCCCTCGTCCATTCTCACAAGTAACATCTCTGGTAGAGGAGATGTACCCCAGTAATCAGCTGCCTCCAGTCCTAGCAGAAGGACCACCATCCTGATAGGTGGTGGCAGCATGTACACATAGGCCCCTCATGAGATTAAATCCCTGAGAAACCACTTGCTTCCTGAAGGAAGTAAAAATACGACCTGTAATTTTACTAACCGTTCTTACTCCTCAGAAAGAAACCATAAAGCTTCAGTTTAGCCCTTCGGGAAATCAATTCTCACAAGAATCCAACTTAGTAAAGTCATAGTTAATGAAGTTTTATAATAAAGTTGAGCATGCTTAAATAAGAGTATGAGAAATCAGGGGCACCTGGGTGGCTCAGTTGGTTGAGCATCTGACTCGGTTTTGGCTCAGGTGGTGACCTGAGCTCGTGTGCGGAGTCTACTTAAGATTCTTTCCCCCTCACTCTCTGCCCCTCCCCCCTGATTGCTCATGCTCTCGCCCACGCTCTTTCTCTCTCATAAATACATAAAATATTTTAAAAAATAAAGAATATAAGAAATTAAATACAAGTATATAGTATTGATGCCTTGTTATAGTAATTGCCAAAGTAGAATATTCTGGATTCCTGTGGTACTTGTGAATGATTAAAGCAAGGAAAATTGATGAAAAAGAAGAATAGTAATAAACATCTCAGGAGTTTAGTGAGCAGAGGATCTGTACTTATTCATCAGTACTGTAACCTGATTATACAGAATAAAAGGTAGGAATCATCCACATTTTATGTAAGATAGCACTTACAGAAATATTGCCAGGGTTCACTTACTAGCTTTTTCCTCTGTTCCCTTAAGCTATAAATTTTGCTATTTTGGGGTGGCAGAAGGAGTTCTGGGAAATTCTGAGAAGCACAGTGACCAGTTGGTAGAGAACGGAGGGGACCAGAGGCTCCCAAATGGCATTTTGAGCAGATTCCACTAAGCTTCAAATAGCAGGCTGATTCAGACCATAGCATGAAACATGGAAATACCATTTTGTTCTGTTTTTATGAGGACTGAGTTAAGTTTCATTTCAGTGAGTCACAAATTATTTAACATGCTGAAATGAAACTTAACAGCACTCATAAAAGTGGGAGCGAGTCGGGGAAAGAAACACAAACATTGTCTATTTTTCAGCAAGTCTGTATAAATCAGGAGTTCCATCATTTGTAATTCCTACTGTTGGCCTGCAGAGGCAAAGAAATCAAGTTAATATGTTTCTAATGTGCGACTTTGCCTCAGAGCTACTGATCTTAAGTGAACGAGTCAAACTGACAGATCTGGATATACCTGAGACCAGGTACACTTGGCTTTTCTTTAAGGCCTCACCAGCTTGAGTACACGTGTAGGCATCGTACTCCAATTAGGGTCCCACTTGCTTGAGCTCCTAATCTGTGTATGTATCTTGGGCTGGATAAAATCCAGGAAGACCTTCAGGTCCCATAAGCTTCTTTGGTGGAGAGATTATGTTTGGTTATCTTTGTTCTCCCAGCAGCTGGCTTGAAGGAGAGCCTTTGATTACATACTGAAGGAGAAACCCAGGGAGTAGATGTGTGGGTGGATGGGTCACTTGCTCTTAAGACTTCAGTGATTGTGGAATCTGGAGCCCATTTCAGAGGATGGTTTTCATTATCCAGCATTTATTGGCCTCCCATTTTGTGTACAATAGCCCATTAAGCAAGTAGAATTACTGGTGGAATTTAGGAGGACTATAAGACTCTGGTGTCAGAGTCCCACTGTGTAAAGAAGGGTAACAAGCATGCAGGAAAATATACCAGGATCTCGTGCTTGGGCCTGTATTTCAACCCTCTGGTTGCTCCTGCTCCCCATGTCATGACCCTGCAGAGGACTGTTGGTGCTTAACCTTTATGGACAAGCAGTGCCTAAAGCTCTGAAGTCATTCCCTGCACCCCTTCTGTCTGATTAATTTCCCTTAACAATTTCTGGGTTAAGCTGGCAGATGGAGCCTCACATGTGCTCCTCTCCCATGACAGGACTCCACTAAACTAATGGTAAAGGCAGGAATGCACAAACCATGATGGGGAAGAGAAGCAGAGGTCACTGTTTGACAAAAGAAAGATGCCATGTCTTTCTGGAGGGTAGAAGAGAATGGAAGTTCCATTGAAGGAACAAAGCAGCAGAGGCCTGAACGGGAACAAGCAGAGTTACAACAGAAAAGAAAGCAGAATGCTTGAGGGCATCTAGGACTTGGGAAGGAGAGTAGGTGTGAGGTGTTGTCTGCAACTGAAGAGAAGGCGAAGAGTCAGACAACATGGCTGACCATGGCTGGCCGTGCACTTGGAGCTTGACGTGCTGTTGGGTAATGATCTTCACACCTAGTATCACAGCCCTCCTTTTCAAAGTTGTGTGATAAACTGGTTAAGGGCAGCTGGAGCAGGTGTGTGACCTCCATGGTTGGGCACAGCGCTCACCCTCCTGAGTTGGGGAGTGGACTCCAATTTCCCTCATGCCAGTCCCAAATGGAAGCCTACCACACAACACCTCCAACCTCATAGACAGAGTCCCCTCAGTCTACTTTTCTGTACCTCATCCTCAAATACAAGTGGTCAACCAGAGATCATCAGCTCTTTGATGATCAAAAAACCAATAACAGGAATAAGGAAGATGAAGAAAAATGCAGAGACACTGACCCTGGCACAAAGTTACAATAATCGTATAATTCTCTGCAGCCAAATTATCAATCAAGCACAGGGACAAAATAATTTTGAGAAACAGAAGAATTCAGAAATTTTAGTTTTCCTGCATTCG